TATATATTTGTTTTCAGTTTTGATATTTTGGGATAGATGTATTATTCATATATTGAAACTGTTCAGAACAATTGGATATTTTCAGACACAACAGAATAAATAATGCAAAATTCATCAAAAAACGGGGATTCCCCTATATACATCCAACCTACCAAGAGAAATGGCATGAGCTTACTGGACAATATCGACTGACATCATGTGCATCCAAGATTAAACCAAATTTGGATCCATTTGTTGTCCGAATCTATATGGTTGATGATTGGGAGAGTGAAGGAATCATCACCTATTTGGTACTACAAAGCACAATTTAATTGCTCTGAGGTGAGAGTTCTGTGAGCACTGAGGTGACACTGCTTGTATGCTTCATAGTACTTTATTTGTTGGTGTATGAGCACAGGAAGAAGCTTTATATCCTCAGGGGGCCAGTGAAGTTCCAAGTTTTTCTCCTTCCAAAGTCCTCCTGCCTGGAGGTGAGCCCCTATCCCATCTGGGGGCCCCACTCAGGCTCCTGCTCTCCAGCCTCCCTTCCTCTCCATCTTCTACACAATGGAGTTGGTGTGTGAGCACAAGAAGAAGCTTTATAAGCTGTGAAGAATTATATGATTTGAATCACTACTGATCATTTCACTTATATGGATTTGTTTTATGGACATTTATTTGTCTGTTTAATTTATTATATAGATAGTTGTTAATTTGGTTTCCCACAAAAGTGCTCCTTCCCCTAACTGGCCCAGGAGGTGCAGGTCTACTCACTTAGGCCTTCTCCTGGTTTGCCGATGGGTCAGTGGCTGCTATCAATCCTTCAAGCTGGGCAGCTCCTTCCCTGCCACACAGGTAGTCCTCTCTCAGTGTGCCAGTGAAGTTCCAAGCTTTCTTCCTTCCAAAGTCCTCCTGCCTGGAGGTGAGCCCCTATCCCATCTGGGCCCCCTCTCAGGCTCCTGCTCCCCAGCCTCACTTCTTCTCCATCTTCTACTCAAACTCTACTCCAACTCTTCTGTTGCTGAAAAGGCTCACTTACTCTTCAATGCTGTGCTGGCCCCTTTCCAAGCCTCCTTTTGGGGATTTGCCAAGATCCTCTAAGAGTACAGACCAGCCACTCCTCACCTCCGCCCACTACTTCTAGATCTTTCTCCAAAGTCCTAGAACAAAGGGAAATTCCAGAGACCTGGTCTGCGGAGGCTCTCAGCTCTGACCACAATTTGACCCTACTAGCTATCAAACCCAGGCTGCTACTCAGCCCTCCTAACTAACAATTAAAGTCTAGCTCCCCCTAGCTGACTAGGAGGGTGTTACACATGCATAGTTGAGTCCCTTAGTCTTGTTTCCACATCCATGCATGAGATGCAGAATAATGGCAGCAGGTGATCTGAGAAATGCATCAACAATTTTGTTGTTATGTGCTTTGGAGACCCCATAGAATGTATAAATCTTGGGATTTATATTTCTCTGCTAAACTGTTTTTTGATTGTGCTGAATTTTTTTGATGATTAGGGATATGTTGCTTAATGATGAAACATTGGTCTTCATATTTGTTCAAATACAGCTGTGCATATGTGAATGTACATTTCTCAATTTGAAATGAATAATATTTTTATTGTTTATTTATAATACTTATATAGCACCATCAATTTACACAGCGCTTTCCATATATTGTACATTCACATCAGTCCCTAACCCTCAAGGGGCGTACAATCTAAGGTCCCTAACCCTCAAGGGGCGTACAATCTAAGGTCCCTAACTCACATTCATACATACACATACTAGGGACAATTTAGACAGGAGCCAATTAACCAACCAGCATGTCTTTGGGGTGTGGGAGGAAACTGGAGTACACAGAGGAAACCCACACAGGCACAGGGAGAACATGCAAACTCCAGGCAGGTGGTGCTATTTCTGGGATTTGAACCAATGACTCTAGTACTGCCAGGTGGATGTTCTAAAGATTTAGCCACTGTGCTTATGAAAGCAAAGGTGTGTGACAATAAAAAAACACATTCTTTTAGATAACACCCACCTTTCACCATAGTTGCCAATCACTGCAAAACATTTTTTGTGAGACATTTTAGGTCACAGGAAACAATTCCTACCATGAAAGGTGGGTTGGTTGTTTTTTTGTGTTTACCATCCATGTCAACATTTTCAAGTCTTCCCTGTCATATAAAACACTACTGCCATCTTGAGAAGTGAAGCTTGTTTTTCATTTTTCTGAAGATTTACTAGCATTTACCCATACCAGGGACCTTCCTTGGATCCTAAAAGACCTGCGGTACAACTGGGTGCCTAAACTGAAATGTTTGGGGTTTGTCTGATACTATGGGAAAAATTGGATACATTTTTTTTTTTTTTGCCTTCCGTGCCACATCCCTCTCTATCTTCTCCTTACATCTTGTGTCATCTGCTTCGTCTCTTTCCCTTTCTACAATTCACTCTTCTTGAATTGAGCAGTAGTGTTCTGGCCTTCACTGACACCCAAAAGGACCTTGCAACTCCACTGTTATAAGCAACACATATACTGCATATGACAGCCAGAAGGAAATGCTGCAAGCTGACATTATTATTATTATTATACAGTATTTATATAGCGCCAAAAGGTTTGCTCAGCTCTGTACAATAGTGGGGGACAGTACATGAGACAATACAGTAACAATACAATACATGAGGGGTTCGAGGGCCCTGCTCTTTCGAACTTACAATCTAGGAGGGAGGGGATAGTGGTACAGGAGGAAGTGGCTGTGGGGGATGGAATGGTAGGAGGAGTGTAGAGTGTAGATCGGCTGTATATACCCTGTTCCAAATTATTATGCAAATTCTATTTAAGTGTCACAAAGATGAAATATTTTGTTTTTTTTCCGTGTAACTCATGGATGGCATTGTGTGTCAGGGCTCTTTTGATCACTGAAAACAATCTCGGACACCTGTGATAATTAGATTGGCTGGTGAGCCCAATTTAAGGAAAAACTACTAAAGGACGGCGTTCCACATTATTAAGCAGAGCACCATTTTCAAGCAATATGGGGAAGAAAAAGGATCTCTCTGCTGCCGAAAAGCGTGAAATAGTTCAATGCCTTGGACGAGGGATGAAAACATTCGATATTTCACGGAAACCTAAGCGTGATCATCGCACTATGAAGAGATTTGTGGCTGATTCAGAGCACAGACAGGTTGGTGCAGATAAAGGCACATTGAGGAAGATTTCTGCCAGATCCATGCATTGGATCAAGAGAGCAGCTGCTAAAATACCATTACATAGCAGCAAACATATATTTGAAGCTGCTGGTGCCTCTGGAGTCCCACGGACATCAAGGTGTAGAGTCCTCCAGAGTCCTGCAACTGTGCATAAACCTTCTATTCGGCCACCACTAACCAATGCTCACAAGCAGAAACGGCTGCATTGGGCAGAAAAATACATGAAGACTAATTTTCAAACAGTCCTGTTCACTGATGAGTGCCGTGCAACCCTGGATGGTCCAGATGGATGGAGTAGTGGATGGTTGGTGGACGGCCACCCTGTTCCAACAAGGCTGCGACGTCAGCAAGGCAGCGGTGGAGTCATGTTTTGGGCCGGAATCATGGGAACAGAGCTGGTCGGCCCATTTAGGGTCCCCAAGGGTGTAAGGATGACCTCTGCAAAGTATGTGGAGTTTATGACTGACAACTTTCTTCCCTGGTACAGAAGGAAGAACTATGCTTTCCGTAATATAATCATCTTCATGCATGACAATGCACCATCTCATGCTGCAAATAATACCTCTGCATCAATGGCTGCTATGGGGATAAAAGGAGAGAAAATCACGGTGTGGCCTCCATCCTCCCCTGACCTCAATCCTATTGGGAACCTTTGGAGCATCCTCAAGCAAAAGATCTATGAGGGTGGGAGGCAGTTTACATCCAAACAGCAGCTCTGGGAGGCTATTCTGACATCTTGCAAACAAATTCAAGCAGAAACTGTCCAAAAACTCACAAGTTCAATGGATGCAAGACTTGTGATCTGCTATCAGATAAGGGGTCCTATGTTAAAATGTAATGTGACCGGTTCAAATGTTTAAAAAGTTAACATGTTGTTAAAAGTTTGATTGAAAGAGCTTTTGATTTCAGTAAATATGCTGCAAACACAACAAATGACAATTTTCAGTTCTTTACAACCTATAAAGTGTTTTGAAACTTACTGTGCGTAAATTTGGAACAGTGCATTGGAAGTTTTTTATGTTTAAAAAAAATACTGTTATCATTAGGAGGTTTGGGAAGTTATAATTTTTGTTGTCTTTTTTAAATTAGATCTAAGACAAATATAATATTTTTTCCTATTAAAAAATTAGTCTTAAACATCCATAAGTATAATTTTCATAAATGTGATGTCATGACTAAAATGAAAAATAAATGTATTATGATTGCCATAAAAAAAGAAGAAATAATAGATTAATTTAGAAAGATATAAATTAACTGATGGGCTGGGGCACACACTAAAGAACCTGGGCACATGCCTTGTGTGTCAAGGTCTAGTAACTCCCATGATCATCACTACCTACTATATATTACCTATATGTTACTTCTCTAGTACCTTTCTGCTCAAAAACTATTTGATGTAGAGCTTGTCTAATCTCATGGTTCCTCAGACTGTATATGATAGGATTCAACAATGGGTTCACCACAGTGTACAACAAAGAAGTGTACTTGTTTACGGAAGGTAATTTCTCATTGGCTGGAGTCACATAAATAGTAATTATGGACCCATAATATGTACACACAGAGATCAGGTGGGCACTACATGTAGAAAAAGCTTTTTTTTTTTCCTGCCAGCGGAGGATGACATTTTGAAAATGACAGTAAAAATGTAGATGTATGTCCCAATGATAAATGCAAGAGAACATAAAAACAAAAAGGCAGAGCATGTAAAGTCTAACCATTGTACGATAGATGTGTCTGATGTGGACAATTTCACGATTGGACCCACATCACAAAAAAGTAATCAATGTCTGTGAGGTCACAAAATTCAAACTGAGCTATGAAAATAATTTCAGTTGAAGATAGAGTCCAAGTTATTACCCAAGAACCAAAACCCAACAGGAAGCAGATTCTACGATCCATAATTAAAATGTAATGTAAAGGATTAGAAATAGCTACATATCGGTCATAAGACATTACAGCAAGGATGAAACATTGCACAAATCCGAAATTCAAGAAGGAGTACAGCTGTATGATACATCCGCCTACAGACATTTCTCTCTTTGTCTTCAATATAACCTCTGCCATCAGTGGAATTATACATGTGGCCAGGAGGACATCTGCGAGAGCAAGGTGCTGAAGAAAGATGAACATCGGGATTTTGAGATTGCTATTGGTTGACACTAGAAGGATGATTACAATGTTGCCGATCACTATTGCCATGTAAATTAGAAGTGAGACAGCAAAGAATAGAGTTTTGAAGTTTTTCTAGACCTTGTAATCCAAGAAGATAGACCTCTGTGACTTTTGTTTGATTGTCTTGACACATTTTAGGAAGCGTGACCCATCAGGAAAGATACCAACCAAAAGAAGTTTATTTATAACATAAGAAGAGAATGTCTAAGACATAAGTCAATGAATTTCTCACCTCAACTCACATTCATACATGCACATGCTAGGGACAATTCAGAAATGTAGCCAATTAACCTAGGGAACGTGCAAAATCCAGTGCATCTCTTCATAGAAACCAGCTACCAGGATTTATTGCCAACGCTTAAATGAACAAGCTGAAGTTAGAAGCTGATTGTCTACCATGCACAGCTGGACCAGATTTTGCACTGTCACGTTTTAGTAAATCAACCCCCAATGTCTAAGTCACAACGTAAAATCAATCACTGAACTTCTCACCTCATTATATTACAAATGTGTTTACCATAGAAGTTTTGTAGGTTTACTCAATCAACTATTAGCCAAAGTCTTACATATAATGCACTTTCGCTCAATTAGTCAGGTGCCTAACATATCTTCTTGGTAAGTCCTCTGCTCCTTCTGCGCTGTGTAGCCTGGACCTCAGAGGTCTTCAGAGGAAGACACATGGAACCTTGAAGCAGCTGATCTGAATTTTCTCTTGTTCACATTCACTGCAATTTAGAAAAAAAGGAAGTAAACAAGAATTGCATTAACAAGGTAGACCATTACCACTCACCAGACAATGACTATCAACGCCTAAAGCTACCTACCAAGCAGGGTTCCCTTTCTGTTTAAACAATGAGGCCCACAACCCCATTTAAAAGAAGTTTCTTTAATTTCTCTGTAGCCAGCGATGGCTCCATTTGGAGTTATTGTTCGGACAGAGCAGCAATTTGAACCAGCAATTTCTAGTGCCATGGGATGCAGCACCATCCTGTTTGTTTGAGTTGCACATTCACAGTGCAAACTTTCTCCTGACTATGGTTAGCTCAGCAACTGCATTAGAAGAGAGTTCACACTGCTTATGTGCAGCCCAAAAGAAGATGGTGGTCTTCCCTCCTGTGACATTTGGGGGTGTTAATCCCAATGGCTGCTCTGTCTCTACAATAACTTGGGATGGAGCCATCACTGGCTGTCAAGAATTTGACTCACCTAGCTACCTCGATTCTCCCAGTCCAATGGACCTGGAACCTGTCCTCCAGCATGGAGTGCTATCTCTTGGGTAGAGCATGCCTATCTCCTAATGGGAGCCCACACCTGTCCCTTGATGGAGGTACTCCTGTCTCCTGGATGGAGCACATACCTGTTTCCTTAAGGGAGTCCCGAGCTATGCCCTGGCCTCCCTTATTTGACTCACCTAGCTACTTTGATTCTCCCAGTCCTATGGACCTGGAACCAGTCCTCCAGCATGGAGTGCTGTCTCTTGGGTAGAGCATGCCTGTACTCTAATGGGAGCCCACACCTGTCCCTTGATTAAGGTACTCCTGTCTCCTGGATGGAGCACATACCTGTTTCCTTAAGGGAGCCCCAAGCTATGCCCAGGCCTCCCTTTTTTGACTCACCTAACTACCTCGATTCTCCCAGTCCTGTGGACCTGGAACCTGTCCTCCAGCATGGAGTGCTATCTCTTGAGTAGAGCATGCCTGTCTCCTAATGGGAGTCCACACCTGTCCCTTGATGGAGGTACTCCTGTCTCCTGGATGGAGCACATACCTGTTTCCTGAAGAAAGCCCCAAGCTATGCCCTGGCCTCCCTTATTTGACTCACCTAGCTACCTCGATTCTCCCAGTTCTATGGACCTGGAACCTTTCCTCCAGTATGGAGTGCTATCTCTTGGGTAGAGCATGCCTGTCTCCTAACGGGAGCCCACACCTGTCCCTTGATGGAGGTACTCCTGGATGGAGCACATACCTGTTTCCTTAAGGAAGCCCTGATCTATGCCCAGGCCTCCCTTATTTGACTCACCTAACTACCTCGATTCTCCCAGTCCTATGGACCTGGAACCTGTCCTCCAGCATGGAGTGCTATCTCTTGGGTAGAGCATGCCCGTCTCCTAACGGGAGCCCACACCTGTCCCTTGATGGAGGTACTCCTGTCTCCTGGATGGAGCACATACCTGTTTCCTTAAGGGAGTCCCGAGCTATGCCCTGGCCTCCCTTATTTGACTCACCTAGCTACTTTGATTCTCCCAGTCCTATGGACCTGGAACCAGTCCTCCAGCATGGAGTGCTGTCTCTTGGGTAGAGCATGCCTGTACTCTAATGGGAGCCCACACCTGTCCCTTGATTAAGGTACTCCTGTCTCCTGGATGGAGCACATACCTGTTTCCTTAAGGGAGCCCCAAGCTATGCCCAGGCCTCCCTTTTTTGACTCACCTAACTACCTCGATTCTCCCAGTCCTGTGGACCTGGAACCTGTCCTCCAGCATGGAGTGCTATCTCTTGAGTAGAGCATGCCTGTCTCCTAATGGGAGTCCACACCTGTCCCTTGATGGAGGTACTCCTGTCTCCTGGATGGAGCACATACCTGTTTCCTGAAGAAAGCCCCAAGCTATGCCCTGGCCTCCCTTATTTGACTCACCTAGCTACCTCGATTCTCCCAGTTCTATGGACCTGGAACCTTTCCTCCAGTATGGAGTGCTATCTCTTGGGTAGAGCATGCCTGTCTCCTAACGGGAGCCCACACCTGTCCCTTGATGGAGGTACTCCTGGATGGAGCACATACCTGTTTCCTTAAGGAAGCCCTGATCTATGCCCAGGCCTCCCTTATTTGACTCACCTAACTACCTCGATTCTCCCAGTCCTATGGACCTGGAACCTGTCCTCCAGCATGGAGTGCTATCTCTTGGGTAGAGCATGCCCGTCTCCTAACGGGAGCCCACACCTGTCCCTTGATGGAGGTACTCCTGTCTCCTGGATGGAGCACATACCTGTTTCCTTAAGGGAGTCCCGAGCTATGCCCTGGCCTCCCTTATTTGACTCACCTAGCTACTTTGATTCTCCCAGTCCTATGGACCTGGAACCAGTCCTCCAGCATGGAGTGCTGTCTCTTGGGTAGAGCATGCCTGTACTCTAATGGGAGCCCACACCTGTCCCTTGATTAAGGTACTCCTGTCTCCTAAATGGAGCACATACCTGTTTCCTTAAGGGAGCCCCAAGCTATGCCCAGGCCTCCCTTTTTTGACTCACCTAACTACCTTGATTCTCCCAGTCCTGTGGACCTGGAACCTGTCCTCCAGCATGGAGTGCTGTCTCTTGGGTAGAGCACGCCTGTCTCCTAACAAGAGCCCACACCTGTCCCTTGATGGAGGTACTCCTGTCTCCTGGATGGAGGACAGACCTGGTTCCTTAAGGGAGCCCCGAGCTATGCCCAGGCCTCCCTTATAACGAATGTACATACCTGCAAACTCACACAGCCTGCACATCTCCAATAAAACCTGGACACATGATTAAAGGTTTCTTTAAACCCAAAACTCTTTAAAGCCTCTGGACTAACAATCCTGATCCGGGATAGCAAAGCTCGAAGAAAACCAAAAGCCCATTCTTCTCAGTTCAGACACAACACTTAGGAGCCCCTCAAGCGGTATCTTTGAGAGTTGTGTGTTTCTCTCTGCCTATGCTCACACAGTGACAGGGCCTAGCACTGTCACAATATCTATATTATATTATTATAAATGTATTGTTCAAAATATAATACATGGTGATGCGAGCCATAATAATTCGATGTTACAAATTCAAATATAATAACATTGTATACAATCTCATTATATATATTTTAGGTTTATTAGTTATATTTTATAGTGAATATACAATAACGTACATTTTACAGACAAGATCAAGATATGTGTCCTATAAAGTTAAATTTAAAGATCGCTCCATAGAAGATGTACTGCTACAGAGCAGCTGTGCTGTGCAAAATCACGTATATGTACACAGTCTTGCATCAACAGGTAGAGGGCGCACGTGTGCAAACTGCCCTACCCGCATGTTCATTGGCTCCCAAAGATGTTAATCACTGAGTCCCAGCCAGTGATTCATGACCGGGACTCAGTGATCAGTGGAGAAGCTGACATTGGAGAGATCCGTGTGTACCCGTGTTCTCTCTGATAGAAAGCAGCACATGCCCTAATAAAACACCACACAGTAATCACAACACAGCACACTGTTAACCCTTTGATCGCTCCAGCTGTTAACCCCTTCCTGCCCAGCATCACTAGTACAGTGTCAGTGCTTTTTATTAGCTCTGATGGCTGTATTGGTGTCACTGGAGATGTCATGCAAACCAATCAATATACACTTTTTGGGATTTTTTTTTTTTTTACCAAAGAAATGTAGCAGAATACATTTTGGCCACAGTTTATGAAGAAATGTGATTTAAAAAAAAATAATGGATAAGTTTATAGTAAAACGAAAAAATATTGAGGTTTATTTTTTAAAATGTTTTGTCTTTCTTTGTTAAAAGTAAAAAAAACTCAGCGGTGATCAAATACCACCAAAAGAAAGAAAGTGTGAAAAAATTATATAATTTTTTTGTTTGGGTACTTTGTTGCATGACCATTAAAGTAGCGCAGTGATATATATATATAAAAAAAAAAAAAAGGGCCGGTCATGGTGGCAGTAAAAACTTCCTGAGATTAAGTGGATAAAAGTGAATAAGTGGGGTAACATTGAATAGACACCTAATATACAATACCCTTATATCCTTAGATACATGTAAGAATCTTCTGCATAATAAAATGTATTATTTCAGTTTCTCATTTGGGTTTAAAACAGTAATATTAATAATAATAATATTAATAATAATAATAATAATATTAATAAGAATAATAATAATAATAACAATAACAATAATATTAATAAGAATAAATAACACTAATAATAATATTAATAATAATAATACCAATAATAATAATAACACTAATAATAATAATAATATTAATAATAATAATAACACTAATAATAATAATAATAATA